TTCCAATGCAGTAAATCATCCGACTGAATGATTCTTGTCATGGCACCTAACAGAAAAATAGGAAACCAAATTGCGTAAAATTAGGTGTTAACTAATGCTTCTATGCTCGAAATAAGTGCTACATGGTCTGATGCAATTTTGATACAAAAACGGAGATCAGTAAAGAGAGACCTTTGGCAGGTTGAGCAAGAACCAACGAGATCCAGTCCAGGTCAGAAGCAGGGGCGAGGCAACATCCTGCAGCAGCAACAACAAGAGAGAAGTTAGCAGAAAAAAATTGTGGCCTTTCTTTTTGTCTGGCAATGCTTGAGCCCATCTACCAACCACCATCAGACCTTGCCTCTGCTCCCAATCTCAGTGATTCATCCACTGCTTAGAACTGGATGACTGATGTGAGCAATAGAAAGGAAGGACCTCGTCTCACCAGGAACAGGACGGCGGGGCAAGGCAGAGAGACAGTGGCGGCGGCCGGATCCAGAGGCGAAAGAGAAAGGAGGGGGCGAAGCGAGGGTTGTGAGGGTCAGAGCATCAGCTAGGGTTCTCACCCAATCGCGACGACCTCGACGGAGACGTGCACCTCCTGCGTCCACCACCGCACGGGGAGGGGATGGTCGTGCATCTCCTTTGTATCGGGCTTGGGAACGGCACAGGAGCGTGTCAGCGGAAGCAACGCTGTGGGCATGGCGGATCTGGCCTCCACCTGACCTTCTCGAGAAGGTGAAACGGCAGCGGCGGGCGCCTATGGGAGAGAGGGAGGAGGCGGCACCGAGGTTGGGGGAGAGGAGATCGGCAATAGGGTGGGGGCGGCGGCTGGCTTGGGACGGGAGGGAGAACGAACCGGGAGAGGAGGAAGGGAGGGGGCAAGACTGCGAACCCACGCCTCGGGTAGGTGCCAGCGATGGCGAGGCGAGCGGAGGCGGCGGCGCGGCAGGGAGCGCAAGGAGAGAGAGAGGGAGAGGGAGAGAGAGAGAGGCGAGGCGGGAGGAGATGGCCGCGGGGGAGGCGCGAGTGCGGGAGGGAGGCGGCGGCTAGGGTTCTACCACGGGAGCTGCTGCCTTTTATACCCCCACTACGCGAAATGACCGAAATGCCCCGGTGGGGGTAAGGTATTTACATTATGTTGCCATTGGAATTTTATCCGACGGCTCACAGCAATTTGGTAAATATCCGACGCCTCACGTGAGCCGAGCCCGAGATCCGACGGCCGGAATCGCATCAGGAAAACGATTGAACGGTCCAAAATCCAAATGAACGGGAGAGCTCCATTTTGCTTTGGACTCTAACAAGGAGATTCTGCGGTTGTGGATGTGGAAGATTTATACCTCATAACTTTTTTTAGGGCAATTTATACCTCATAACTACATGATCCATTAGGGTGAGCGGGCGAGTAGGCCATCCAGTCACGACGAGCGGACAAGCAGTTTGAGCGTGCTAATGAGCCGACTTAGCCTTTATCAAGTGAAGTCACGCTGCAACTTTACCCTTCTAATCTCCATCCAATCCACATCCTACGGTTCAGTTCACACAAGGGGAAAGGCTCTCAACACTTAGCAGTTTTCAGCATAGCAGCAAACATCAATACAAACTAGGTGCAAACAACAATGCAGTGGCACTTGAACTCAGTTTTATTTGAACAGATTGAAACCCAAAAAATAAAGAACTGTAGATACTCATGAGCAAACTATAAAACAAAATTTGATCTGGTGTTGAAACCCAAAAAATAAAGAACTGCAGATACTCATGAGCAGACTATAAAACAAAATTTGGTCTCATGTTGAAACCCAAAAAATAAAGAACTGCAGATACACGCTGTCATAATACCAAATTTTGTTTTATAGTTTGCTCATGAGTATCTGCAGTTCTTTATTTTTGGGGTTTCAATCTGTTCAAATAAAACTGAGTTCAAGTGCCACTGCATTATTGTTTGCAACTAGTCTGTATTGATGTTTGCTGCTATGCTGAAAACTGCTAAGTGTTAAGAGCCTTTCCCCTTGTGTGATCTGGACCGTAGGATGTGGATTGGATGGAAATTAGAAGGATAAAATTGCAGCGTGACTTCACTTGATAAAGGCACTGTATCCCTCCCCTCAAAAAAAAAAAAAAGCACTGTATCCCACTATAGGGTCAAATTGTCGCAGAAGGCGCTAACGTGGAGCTCCCACCAGTGCATGCAACTCACACCCAGCAGCGAACGCTCTTTGAAGTGAGCTTGCTCATGTAAAGGTTCTCTCAACCGGTTTTGTGAAAATTTCAGAAGCTTCCCGTTGTTGTTTTTTCCTTTTCTTGTTATTTGTCAGGGTTTTATTCGTATATTTTTCTCCTTTTCCTGTTTTCCTTTTCATTTTTCTCTTTGGAATTCATTTTACATTTTTAAAAATTCATGAACTTATTTTCAAGTTCATGCACATTTTTTCAAAGAATAAATATAATCAAATTTATATTTTTAAAAAATTCATAAACTTTCCACTTCATTAACCTTTTGAATTCGTAGTTTTTTTCAAATCTGTGAACTTTTTAAAATTCATGAACAATTTTCAAATTTGGGATTTTTTTTAAATTACGGAAGTTTTTTAAAATTCACGAACTTATTTAAACCCATGCATTTTTTTGAAAGTACAAATTTACAATCTGTATAAAGAACCAGAGAGTCGTTTTTTTTCTTCTAAAGCAGTAGCTGCTTGTTTTTGCTGAAACTGCAGCGAGCGAGCCGGGCCATCGGACGAGCGGGTGAGCGAGCGGTTGGGCTGAGCTAATGGTCAGACCAGCTGTGCGCGCGCCGAAGGCCCTAACGAGGACCTCCCTCTTAGATTGATGTCAAAAAAAGAATAAAAAAGTGTAAAAAAAGAAAGAAAAAGGAGCTCCCTTGTAAACATGGCTCTAGCACGCAGGGCAGGGCATGCTGGCGCCGCATCTCACCTTTGGAACCGGATCCTCTAACATTCTCAAGGGATGTCACGTAAGCTACAGTAACCGTGACATCCCTTCTGCACATCTATATGGTTAAGCTCAAAATGATTATAATTAATTTGCAAATTACAAATCAATTGTATACATTTACAAAAATTACATAGAAACAAAATTATGATGTAATAAAATTATTTTATGATTTATTTTTGTACATGCAACACTAAATCTGCATAGTAGTTGCTACAGTACATTTGACATTCCTTCTTGGTTTTACACACGCACTCACTGTAGCTTCGTGACATCCTTGAGATCTGCTTCCCTCGCCCTTGTGCCACTGCTGCATTCCGCTGGCCACTGGCCGCTGCCTGAGCATTTCCGCACCGCCGCCGCCCATCCCCCCCCTGCGGCCCCGCCTGCTGGCTGCTCCGCGGGAGCACCACCGCGCATTCCCCTCCGCCCCCCGGTCTCGGCAGTCAGGTGCCGCCCCGCCTCCGCCGCACTGCCGCCGCCTGCCCCTGCCTCCGCTCCGCCGCGCCACCAAAGCAGAGGACCGCCGGCTCCGACTCCTCGCGCAGCTACTCCGCGCACCGCTGCTCCTGCTTGGCCTGCAAGCCTCGCCGAATCGGTAATTTCTTGGACTGAAAGACTGCATAGTTTCTGAATTTATGCATTGAAGCTAACTTAAATCGAAATAGAGATGCGTATGCATTGAATTGAACTCGAGTCGATGCGTCTTGTCATCACTTGTCAATTCCATTTCATGCTATAGAAATAGAAGATGAAGAGGGCTTTTTCATCGGTGCCCGCAGTGGGAGTGTCTACACCCTATAGTTTGAGCTCAGGGGAATCAGGGAGTGTACTTGCAAGTATTGACGAATGACGATGATGATATTTTATATCGTTTTCAGTCCTATAGGTCCCACAAAGGGGTTTTTACCTCCTTCTGTAGTGGTATGTTTTCAGATTTGGTTCAGTGGTAATGATTTGACTTGATGTTTATGTCTTTTCTTATGAAAATACACTTTTGATTGATGTCTTGAAGGTGTTGCTACTTCTTCTACCTTGATCAGGTCATGGGAGACACATAAGAAGCAAACCATTAATTTGGTAAACTTTTGTATCTCAATACTGTTATTTGTAGTATTTCTCATGTTTTATATATTTTGTTGGATGTTAAGCATTGAGTTTAAATTCTAGATATATTGTGCAATTGAGCCATATTTTGTATATATGTTTCCAGATGGGGTGTATTTTTTGTGGTAGTTATGAGGTATTTTTCGGGTTGTTATAGGCACTGCTGATTCTTGTGCGCACAATGTCTAAAGTCGCCTAAGGTTGACTTAAGGTGCCTTATGGCCGACCTTATGCCCACATTGGAGAATGGAGATGCCTTAGAGTCGATCTCCTCATGTGTAAAGTACTCTAAGGTCCACCTTTTGAGACTTATGGCCGACATACACTGGAGACGCCCTAATGTGATATAAGCTAGTGTATATCTGAAAACTTGCACATGTTAAATTGCTAAAAGTGTAATAACAGTAAAAAAAAATAGTCCATTCTTTATGGTAGGCTGGTAGCAGATCAATATCTACCTGAACAATCAAATTCCAATCGCTTACCTGTAGCAATTTGCAGACTAGATTAAGTCGATCTGAATTCCACTAGAAGAAATGACCAGTAGGACGCCATTTCATAATGAGCATTTCCAAGGGCGTGAGTGAGCTCACCGTCTGGCAACAAAGTAGGCCTAGGCCATGACGGTGAAGATATAGGAAATAACCAGTTGAATACTTGAATGGGCTCCTAGTTCTTCCAATAGAGGATGCAAATGGAATATTTATTTGTTCTTTTGAACAAATAGCACGAGTCAGCTATATAAATATTTACAGCTAGCTAGTAGCTAGTAGCAAAAAGTTTCTCTGCATTGCTATACAAATATTTAGAAGTAGAAAATACCCAACCAACTAGGACTGATCAGCTTAGTATACTAGTCTTACTGTACAATCTTTTAGGGTAAAGCCAAAATAATCTATGATCGAAATGACTAATTATAGTATCTGATCAAAAGGTGCAACATAAGGAACACCAATGTGCTAAGAACATTCAAGACCACAAGCAAGGATGACGATGTCAGTGTGCAGGTAATCAAGATTACCGGGCCCTTCATCTGGAGAGAACACCTTGATTGCATCCTGCATTGTCGAACGGTGTGATGGGTCAGGTTCTATGCACCGAATAGCGATGGCAATCACTTTGAATATTTCATTTGCAATCTCAGCTTTAGGGAATGGGAGCCGGGTGTCCAGCAAATCCTTGGGTATTGTACTTCTCTTGTCCATGGACGAGAGGGACAAAAGAAAGTCACCCGGATGATGTCCCATGAACAACTCGAGCACGAGCACTCCAAAACTGTATACGTCGCACTTCTCCGTCACCCTTGTTGTGTATGCAAGCTCTGCCAAGCCAATAATGAAGAGTTAATTTTAGTAACCTTTTTGTATGCATGTACTGAAAAAAAGTTGTGTGGAGGGATAATAAGACTTATTCCCTGTCACACGAAAGTAAGAAGGCGAGGCTCGAACCCGGGCTGGCTAGCCCACCAACCATGGTACTAACCATTTGCACCCGTGAGTTCTCGTATGTAGATTGTAGAGAGCAGAGACAAGCATAGTATGGTCGATAGAAGTATATATAATATACTCCCTCTGTTCACTTTTATAAGACCTTGAAGACATTTCAGACAATATGCAAAACAGCCTATTTTGAGTTGTCTGAAACGACTTACAAAAGTGAATGGAGGGAGTACTAGTTTTCGACTGTACAATTGGTTACATTTACACAAACCAATAAGTAATAATCTACTTCCTGGAACAGTTAGGAAGATCTATGCAACTTATTTCATTATTGATGTGAAAATATATATAACACTATGCATGACATCGGTCGAAGTGACAAAAATAAATGTAACAACACATTGATTTAACCAACATAGATATATATTATTGTACCTGGTGCAAGATATCCTTTTGTCCCGGCAAGCCTTGTGCAGTTTGACCCATCCACATCTAATATTTTGGCAATACCAAAATCAGAGATGCATGCTCTAAATTCCAGATCAAGCAAAATGTTGTTGCTTGTTATATCTCTATGGACTATCGGCGCAAAGCAATCATGATGCATGTAAGACAAAGCATGGGCCACATCCTTAACAATATTTAACCTCCTTGTCCAGTCCAACTCTATTGCAGTTTCCTTGGTCCTTAAAGATGCTGCTAAGCTTCCTCGTTCCATGTATTCATACAAAAGAAATCTTCCTTGAGTAGCAGAACAGTAGCCAAATAACTTCACAATATTGCGATGCCGAATATGCATCAAGGCATCTATTTCACGATTAAATAGCTCATCATCTTCTATTGTATGAATCTTCTTTACTGCAAATATCTCGCTTGTTGGTAACTGAGCTCTATATACTGACCCACTACTTCCAATTCCAATGCAGTGAGCGTCACTAAAATTTTCTGTGGCGTCAACAATTTGCCTGTACATATCTCCTCCATGAAAGTTCCAGATGGCAAACAGATTTGTCTGTTGCAATTCATTTGCGCTTTCCACCTTGGATTTCCTTGTTTTACATTGCAAAGGTACTAGTACCATGATAAACAGAAAAGATACAACAACAGGTATTATAGCTAGTAAAATAGCTCTGGGCTTCTTTTTTTGTTCACCACTTTGATTAAGGTCACAAGGGGGCAAACCTTTCACTACACCACACAATTTCTTATTCTGCATGAACCATTGGATTGGAGCTTCTTCAAACAATCTACTCTGTGGCACTGACCCTTCCAATTTGTTGAATGACACATCAATGGATAGGAGGCTGAGCATGCGCTGAAATGATGGTGGGATGCTACCTTTCAATGCATTGTGTGAAAGATTCAAAACTTCGAGCATGCTCAAACCACCCAGCTGACTCGGAATGACACTAGCAAATGAATTATCACTTAGATCCAACAATTCTTGTAGGTTTACCAACATTCCTAGTTCGATTGGTATGCTGCCATTGAGGTGATTATGGCTCAAATTCAGGAAGTGAAGCTTGAGACAATGTTCAATTGACCCTTGTATCATCCCACTTAGGTTGTTTGATGATAAATCTAAGTACTCCAAATTCTTTAGCGATCCAATATCTTTAGGTATACTTCCTTGGAGCAGGTTATTACCCAGGCTCAAGTTGAACAGCAACGTTAAATTGCCAATCTCCAGTGGAATCTGCCCTTCAAGTTTATTTGATGAAACATCAAGTATCCCCAACTGAGATAACTGCCCTATGCTTGGTGGTATGACTCCAGTAATGTTGTTGTTTGAGGCACGTAGCATTGTAAGTTTGTAACACTCACCCCAGCGATGAGATAATTGACCAAATAATTTGTTTGAACTGATATCAACATAGACAAGATCCGGGTGAAGCCCCATCTCGGAGATATCTCCTTGAAGCTGATTTCCTTCAAGACGAAGTTTGACTAGGCTTTTGCAACTTAGCAAGCTTGTTGGCAAGGGTCCAACCAAGTTGTTGCCATTAGCAGTGAGAAACTGTAGTCGGCCTCCCGCGCAAAGACCCGATGGCAATGCACCAGATAGATTGTTCAAAGAAACTCCAAACATTTCCAGATTCATTAACTCGCCAATTTCTTGAGGAATGTGTCCAGAAAATTGGTTGAAATTAAGGTTTAAGAAGGTGAGCTTAGTCAAATTTCCTAAACTGTTTGGGATAGGACCTGTTAGGTTGTTCAAACTGAGCTGAAAGTCCTCTAAATTCACCATATAACCTAGTTCCCAAGGAATTTTTCCGGAAAGTTGGTTCTGGCCAAGGTACAAGATCTTGAGTTTGGTCAAATTACACATATTTCTTGGAAAGGAACCTGTTAGTGTGTTGTAGCTGAGCCGCAAGTCCTCTATGTGCACCAAATATCCCAAAACCAGAGGAATGTGTCCAGAAAGTTGGTTACGGTGAAGGTGCAAGGTAGCGAGTTTGGTCAAATTCCATAAATTGCTTGGAACGGAACCAGATAGTGTGTTGTTGTTGAGCCTCAAGTCCTCTAAGTTCACTAAATAACCTAGTTCTCGAGGAATGCGTCCAGAAAGTTGGTTATGGTAAAGGTACAAGGTAGTGAGTTTGGCCAGGTTACCTATATTGCTTGGGATAGAACCTGAAAAGTTGTTTTGGCTTATGTCCAAGTGTTGTAGGTCGAAAAATTTCACTATATCTTTGGGAATGGGACCACTTAAGTTATTATGGGATAACGATGGCATATTTATGTTTTCTAAGTTTACTTTTGCAGTAGGCTGAGATGAAAAATTATTCATAGGATTTTGTATGGATGAGTTAGCTGGACTGAAGGAAACTGGTCCAGAAAGGTCATTGCTGGACAAATCTAATTTAAGCAAATGCTTAAGGTGACCTATTTCACAAGGGATAGGACCAACTAAGTAATTGTTTGACAAGTTCAGGCTCACAAGATTACCCATCTCGCCTATTTGCCTTGGTATTTCACCGGAGACTTGATTGTCATGGAGCATTAGGAGACGCAGTTTCGTGAGATTTGCTAAAACAGGTGGAATTGAACCTCTTATCTGATTGTCATGCAGGAGGAGAGCACGAAGTTCTTTGAGGAGCTTAATATTCACAGGGATGCTCCCGGCAAGCTCGTTGTGCGAGAGCTCAAGGGCCACCAAGGTCCTCAAAGCCGAGAAGTCAAGAGACTCAAGTGTCCCTCTCAGCCGCATCCCCGGCAGGGAGATGGCGGCAATCACCGGCCAGCGCCCACCACACCGGATGCCTTGCCAACGGCAAGGTGCTGAGATGTTTTCCCAGGATCGCAGGGCGTCTTGGCTTTGCTGACTGAGGCTGGCTTTCCAGGCAAGAAGTGCCCCTGCTTGTTGTTCAAGTGATGGCAGCGCTCCAGCGGCTGAGACGAGTGCGGTGGTGCACATCATCAGTATGGTGAGAGAGGCAAGTATTTTGGAAGCCAAGGGCGCCATGGCGAGGATAGGAATTGATTCTGCTTCTGCGTCTGCTGGAGGGTTCACCTTAAATCATTGCACCAAATATTGCCGCTGCCTCGTTCCCTGCAGGGAGTATGACTGATTAACCACCCCTCCTTTCTGTCCCTCTCGTTCCTTTATTAATCTTCATGATAAGATTTGACCCGCTCTCTGATACATTTCTCTTTTCTTTTCTTGACATAGATTATGACACCTGTTCTTTCAAAGTCAAAGTTACAGAACCCAAACATGTACGCACCCAGAAAAGGAAACCAGAAAGAAGGTGCCACAACACAAACACACCCCTAGAGGACCTGGTGCAAAGAAGACCATCGCCGCCGGAGAAGAGAGGGACATGACGCTGCTCACCCAGGTTCGGAGGAACACCATTGCAGACGGCACTACTCCCTCCGTCCCAGAAAGCTTGTCCCAAGCTTGTTTCTTAAATGGATGTATCTAGCACTAACTTGGTGCTAGATACATCCATTTGATGGACAAGCTTTTTCGGACGGAGGGAGTACTTTTCTGACTCGATTAAACGGTACACCGCAAGCGGCAGAATTGAGGCGATGTGGCTCGGCGGCTGGGTACTTTCCTTGTGTCCACTGTTCTGCCGTCTTGACAGTGGCGAAGCTACATGTAGTCTGTGATGTCCAGCGACATCACAGAAATGTGCTTAGAAGTTGACCCCGGGTATGTTTAAGTGTATGTTTACATACATGGGCAGTTTTGAGCTGTTCCACTGGCTTCAATTGTTAGCGCTACCACCGCCGTCTTCACTTGACGCTGGTGAAGAAGAAAAGTGGGCCTGCCTGCTATGAAGTAACTATACGCCTGGTACCCTCAGCTTATGTTGCATTTTGTGGAATTTGTCTTCCTATTTGGCAAATGGGGGGAGCGGTGGAAGTCATTAATGGACAAGTGGTTACTGGTCACGTCGCCCTACTCATCGATGATTAATCAGAACATGACGTGCTTCTACGGGCTGCGCGCTGCTTCAAACCCGGCCGTGGCGTGAGGAGGAGGAAGCTGAATCTTCCCTTCCGCGCTGGCTGTTGGGTATGGAGCAAGCGTCATATTGGGGCTCCCCAGCCTCCAAATATGGAGGCTATTGAGGTCGTTTATGGAATGACTCTGCTATAGTGTCATTTTGGTTTAAAATCATTATATTGACAGTTATTGCGATCATGGACATATGACGACTCTGCTAAAGTTGCTCTTAGCCAAATAAGAGATGAGGATAGCTCACTTGGGTGAGATTATCTAAGTTGACCTCTTCGAGGACACAAATTAGGATTCATATTTATACCGTACTCTTGAAATAGCATTTACTCTTATCTATTACAAGTTCCCTGTTCATGTCCTATCGACTGCCAAAAGAATTGAATGTTCACCAACCGTCGCTCATGTGAATGATGCTTCCCTTGTATATATATATGCCACTCCATGGACCATTGTTGTTCTATTCAATTTAACACATTGGTAGCACTAACCTAGTACACTGGATACTTGGTGATGAGATATCAAATTGAGCAGACAATGAGAGGAGAATTACATTACATAGATGTCACAACATGTACATGGGAACGAGAGACATCCGGAATAGCCAGGAGAGCAATATCTTTAGGTTGGTCAGTGACCAAGGGCGATGCTTGACCATTATGCTAAATAGTATCTTTCGCTTTCAACATTTTACTACCGTTACAGCCTGCCTTTGGAGCTGTGGTCGCACTGTAGCTCCCTCTTATCCCCTGGCACCGATGGTCAGCTTCATCGACCGCGAGCCCATCCGCTTCTCCTTTACGCGAGTGCATACTTGTGCTCATGGCGGCTAGCTGGAGCGCTGGCATCTTGTTCACAAAGGCAGTCCGCACTGCTACGTCTTATTGCTTGTCATAGCCACAAGTATGTTGAGCTTGTGCCGATTCTCTTCCGTGCCCTCAAGAACCTATCTTTTGTGAGATTTGCTAAAACAGGTGCAATCGAACCTCTTGTATGATTGTGATGCAGGAGGAGAGCACGGAGTTCTTCGAGGAGGTTAATATTCACTGTGATGCTCCCAGGAAGCTCATCGTGTGAGAGCTCAAGGGCTACCAAGGTCCACAAAGCGGCAATGTCAAGAGACTCAAGTTTCCTCCTCAGCCGCATCCCCGGCAGGAAGATGGTGGTGATCATTGGCGCCCCCGCACCGGTCGCCCCGGCAACGGCAAAGTGTTGACATGTTTCCCTAGGATCGCAGGGTGTCTTGGCTTTGCAGACTGGGGCTGGCTTTTCAGGGAAGAAGTGGCCCTGCTTGTTGTTCGAGTGATGGCAGCGCTCGAGCGGCCGAGAAGAGTGCGGTAGTAGACTAGCCACAGTGGGAGTAATATCACTAGTAACACCACAATTTTCAAGATAATTTTGCTTATGTGGCACATATTTAATGATGAGAGAGATGATGGTGATAACTTAGCTAGTTACTGTAACATCACACATACCAAGACAATATGAGTCTATAGGCTAATAAATGAACCATAACATGACAACACACATATGTTACTACCCACCATGGAGGTAATAACATGGCCTAGTAAAATGTGATGTTATTAGTCTAAGTTACTCCCCATTGTGACTAGTCGTAGAAATCATTAGTATGGTGAGACAAGGGTTCCATGGCTAGGATAGAAATTGGTTCTGCTTCTGTGTCTCTTGGAGAGTTCACCTGGCTTAAATCGTCGCACCAGTATTGCCGCTGTCTCTTTTCCTGTCGTCATGATAGTCAAAATTAATGTTTGCACGATTGATTGGTTACCCCGGATCCGTCTTGCCTGCTCCCTCCTCATGCTCTCATCCGTGCTCCCACCTCATCCTACGGTTGTCTATTTTTCTTTTTTCTTTCTAATATAATCATCTCCCCCTGATTTTAAGGGGGTGGGGCCGGGTCTTATTTTGTTCCAATCAAATCAAGCCACGTATGCGGGAGCACGGATGGGCACACGAGCGGGGAGCAGGCAAGTCTCGTCCGGTTACCCCACCCTTTCTAGTATCTCTCTCGGTCCTTAATTAATCTTCCTAATGAAGATATGACCCGCTCTTTGATGCATTTTTTTGCCGTAGTAGCTGATATCATGGCGCCTGTTCATTCCAAGTCAACGTTACAGAACCCAGACACGTACGCACCCAGAAAAAGAAACCAGAAACAAGGTGCCACAACACAAACTCCATAAAGGCCCTCAACAAAAGAAAGAAAATTACAAGCACACCTCTAGAGGATCTTGTGCAAAGAAGACCATCGTCGTCGGAGAAGAGAGGTACGGGATGCCGCCGCACCCAGGTTCTGAGGAACACCATTGCAGACAGCACTGTTTTCTGAGCCGATTATAGGGTCCATGGCAAGCGGCAGAACCAAGGGGATGTGGCTCGTCAGCCGGGGATGTTCCCCGTGTCCACCGGACCACTGTCTTCCAGTGGTGAAACTACATGTAGAGATCGCTACTTTTTGAGCCGATTAAACGGTCAACCGCAAGCGGCAGAACCGATGGGTTTTGAGTGTGACTCATTGGCCGGGGACCTAACCATGTCCATTGGACCACTATCTCCGTGGCGAAGCTACATGTAGTCTGTGATGTCAAGAGACATCACATAAATGTGCTTAGCAAGCCAACCCCGCTATGTTTAAGTGTTTAGGGTTTAGGGTTTTGAATGGTTGACATCCTGGCTGCCGCAAAGTACCTATAAGTGTGGTGCCTTCACCTTATATTGCATTTCATAGAGTTCGTCTTCCTATTTGGGCTCGGGGAAGCGGTGGATGTGGATGCCATTACTGAGCGGGTGGTTACCGGTCATGTTGCCCCACTCGCCAGTGATTAATCAGAATGTGTAGGTACTTCTATGGGGGGTGCGATACTTCGAACCAGGCTGTGGCGCAAGGAAGATGGCGTTGAAACTTCCCTCCCACCCTAGTGGTTGGGTTTGGAACAAGATCCATACCGGGGCGCCTCCCCGACCTCCAAAATGGAGGCTAAGAGGTTGTTTATGGAGCAAGGTCCATAAATTATGCTGATCGGCACCCACATGGCGGCTCTGTTTGAATGATAGTTTATTCAAAATTATCATATTAACAATTATTATGGTGATCGGGGCCATATAGCGACTCAGCTAGAGTTTGTGTTAGCCCATATAAGAGATGAGCAAAGCTCACTCGGGTGGGAGCATCCAAGTTGAACTCTTCCAGGACACAAATTAGGATTGATATTTATATTGTCCTCTTTTTACTAGCCTATCTATTACAAGTTTCAGTTCATGTGCATTCGACTGGCAAAATAATAGATGTTCACCGACCGTCGCCCATGTGAATGATGGTTTCCCTTGTATATATATGGCACTCCACGGACCACTACCGTTCAACTCATTTGAACATATTGGTAGCACTAGCCTAGTGAACTAGATAGGTGGTGATGAGATGATAAAATAGAAGGGAGGATGAGAGAAGCATCAGACAGATATTACAACATATGCGTGAGAATGAGAGACATCCGGAATAGCCAGGAGAGCAATATCTTTAGGTGGGTCAGAGACCAAGGGCGATGCTTGACCATCAGAGGCCACCACTGCAGCAGTAGTCTCCATGTAGCTCCCTCTTATCCTCTGCCACCAACAGCAAGCTTCATTGGCCGAGAGCCCATGCGCCTCTCCTTGGCATGCGGCATGCATACTAGCAGTCGAGACGGTGCTCCAGCTGACATCTTCACACCGGCATTCCACACTACTACATCTCATGGCTCGTCATAATCACATGTGCGGTCAGCTTGCGCTGATTCTCTTTGTGGAAAGAACCTCTTACTGGCCTCCGCAGGGGCGGACCTACATAGAAGAAGCCAGTGCGGGGCCATGCCCCCACCAATTTTTCAAACTTCACTGGAGTTTGCTTGTATTTCATTGAAAAATACAGATTTTTTTTCATATTTAGAGAAGAAGTGGCTCCACTCTACTAATTTGCCCTCACTCCATCTTGTTTC